TGAGCAGGAACGCGGCGTTTCCCCCGCCCTTGGTGGTCGACAGCCCAGCGATGCGCACTTTCAGCTTACATTGGAAAATTGGGTAAGCTCCGCCTGGGCAGGAGCCATACCCAGGTTCTCACATATCTGATTAGTGAGGACTGGGCAGGAGGAGCCCGCGAAGATAAGAGTGCCGCGCATGTTGAAAAGAAAAATGCGAAAGGCGAAGAGATTTGGTTCGCGAGGTGGGGAGCTTTTATTACTGCGAAGGAAAAATTGAGTTGGGGACAAGGGGGCTGTTCAGCCGAAAAACGGGCGGCCACGGAGCCAGGCGCCGCGGTGGGGTCGAACGGACAGTGCAGGCACGTGGATTGGGCGAGAAAACGCTATCGTTGCACTGTATTTATCCGGGCCGGAGATACCATTTCCACCTAATAAGGCAGGGCCGCCACTTGGTGGGAACTGTACGTACCGTGTGCCACGCACCGTGACCCCGCGCTGAGTTTCCGCAGGAGCTCGTTCCTTCCATTACCTAAGTATCATGGCAAGTATTCAGGCAGATGTCTTGAGATACTTCAAATCCATGTCTCAACATTCAATGGACTTCTTATAACGGGATCGTTTGATGGAGATTGGACCGCTGTAGTCAAAGGATTCGATCGAGTTCTAACACGCGGTATCAATTGGGGAAGCAGCACATTAGAAGTAATCCAAAAGATTAGGTCAGTGGAAGAGATTTTACAATGGACTGGCTGTTTAATCTTGAGACTCTGAGTGAGCCAATCTTCGTACATGTTTGAGTTCTAATATTAGTCTGCAAGGCAGAATCATTATACAACCATGGGAATCCCTCATCTCCTAAATCACCTCTCCCCTTATGGGGTATTTGGGCCTCTCGACGGCCACAGAGTTGTCATTGATGGCCCTGCTTTGGCATACCATATCTACCATCTCTGTACAAGAAGTACTTCCGGTCTGCCATCCTACGATATCCTCGGAAGAACCGCGATAGGATGGTTAGAAGAAATCACCAGTCATGATATATCAATGTAATTCTTTCTTCCAAGACATGAAAAGACCTAAGCTAACGTTCAAAGCGCCGCCATCTACTTTGATGGCTTCCTCCCAGCATCAAAAGCAGAAGTCCGCCTCGAGAGGATACTCAAGGTATCCTCATCTCTCAAAATCTTCCGCTCAGGCTTTCCCAACGGATGCCCAGCAAAGCAAATCGCATCAACACGTCTTGCACTCCCACCTCTCTTCCCAAGCGATGCCCCCAAAAGAGACCAGCCCCTGATCCCACCACCAGCATTCCTCGTCGCAGCCATCGTCGACAAGCTGGAATCGATTGAAAAGTATGCCTCTCTTGTCCGCCTAGTTCCCGGCGAAGCAGACGCCTACTGCGCAGAAGACGTCCTGCGCAACGGAGGCACCATCCTCACCTCAGACTCCGATCTGACCGTTCACGATCTGAAGACGGGTTCCGTTGCCTTCTTCAGAGACCTCCACATCGGCACCATCAAAGATGACAAACCCGCCCTCCTGGGCCCCAAATTCTCACCCTCGAAGATTGCAAAACGTCTACAGCTACCAGAAGACCAAGGCATGCGCAGGTTCGCCTACGAGCTCTCCAAATCCACCCGGCCCAAATTCGCACAAGTCCTCGAAAACTGCAAAGGCGACGTCGCAGATCCGGAAGAGTTCCGTGCCTTTTGCGCACCGTACGAGACCCTAGAGACTACAGACTGGAGCGCCGTCCCGATCCTGGGCAGCCTCGACAAACCCTATCTCGACGCGAGGCTATCCGAGGTCGTCCTGCAGTGTGTGGGATACTCCGGGGTAGCCAAGCCACCCGCGGGCGACTCCGGCGCCGCGGGCTGCATGATGTGTCTCCCGCCTCTCCTGGACTGTCCGGCCCGCGCCAGCGCGTGGGATACCAGCTCTTCCGTGAGACAGCTGGCATACAGCCTCACATGTCTGCTGCGACCCGGGGGCGTCTCCCACGTAAGGGAGTACCGGAGAATGTCGTCTGGCGTGAACCAGGGCAAGTACATGGCGATGCTGCCCCGGCCCTGGATCAAGGACTCGATGGATGCTCTCCTAAAGGCCTTGACCAAGGCAAAAAATAGCTTTAGCCAAAAGGGCTCCACCTGGCAGGCAGTTAGCTTGCAGCTCCTTCTCGCTCACGCGCAGGAAGAGGATAAGCTGGACGCGTATCTGAACTCCATCAAGCTAGGCCAATCGGTGTCGGCAGACTCGAACCTCGTCCCGTGGGACGTTGTGCACCTGTCGGCGCAAATCCACGCGACGCTCTACTCTCTCCGTATCCTGGCCCAGGTCCTGGATCTCATGTACGAGGTCGGAGCCAAGGACCCGATCCAAGGCTCGAAGCAACTGCGCGAGTTGTTGTCCACGTTGCCATCCCTCACTGAATATCCATCAGTGGACGGGACAATGCGCCTTCTCGCAAGTATGAAAACCAGCGGTGCGCTTGGCAAGGTCGCCGCGGCGCTGGGTATTTCGGACAATTTGCTTTTGCCATCAAAAGAAGCCAAAAACCAGAAAAAGAAACGGAAGAAGATGGCAGACGCAGAACCTCGCATGAGACCCGAGAAGAAAGTGTCTTCAAATCCCTTTGATATCCTGGGTAGCGAATAACAAGGCCAAAAGAAGCCCGACACAACCTCCGCCTATCTCTGTGACACTTTCGTTCGCACAAAAATTGGCCGAGGCAGCGAATGCCTTATAATTGTGATCTCGACGGCAACGATGTCATTATTCGTATCATACAACAACTGCTCAAAACAGGGTCCCATCGTCGTGAACCTGCGGAATGAAACCAGGACACAGCCAACCTCTGCCCTCAGGGCAAGTGAAGATGACCTTCCCGTCTCCGCGCAACAGACCCATCTTGAACTGCCAGTCCGTCTTCACAGCGATGCCATTGATCCGCAGCCAGTACGCCAGTATACCTTCAGGCGTACAGCCCTCCTGGCCCTCAGGTTTCTTCTCCCTGGTCTTGGTATTAAATCCCTTCCACTTCGCCGTCTCCTTCTCCAGAGTCCGCATGTGGATAAACTCGCGGTAGAGCGCGAGGTAGGTGAACATGGCATTGGGACGCCCAAAGGCGGTGATGTCTGTCACGCCTGCGCGCAGCTCGCCGTCGTGGAGCATGGCGTACCACGTCCAGTCCAGAGTAACGCGGGGTGCCAGGATGCCATTTTCGGGTACCTTGAGCGACGAGAGGGCAGGCGAGTCGCCCCAGTATAGCAGATCGAGACGACCCTTGTAGATGTAGTCGTACGATATGCCTTCCTTGATCATGTAGCTCTGCACCTGCAGGCTGGCGAGGTACAGTGCCTTCCACTGGCTGAGCTGGTGATTGAGCTTGTCGTTGCCGCACTCCTTCACCAGCACTTCAGGAGGATCCACGGCGCTCTCCTTGACATCATCCAATTTCAGAATCTCCACAGTCTTGAGTGCATCTCCAAAGCATGACTTCAGATGCTTGGTTATGCTGGCCTTGTCCACTGGGTCACCGGAATCGTGGTTGACATCTTCCAGGTACGTAAACACGTGTACGTCGACACCACCGCTTCCAGTCCACGTCTTGACGAGCTTATTGTTCTGCTCCTTGCAAGTCTTCAAATACGTGCGCAAGAATCCGGTATACACGATCGCGAGACGTCCCATATCATCTGTTGCGCGGTGAAGGAGGCAGGTCGTCTTGCTCCCAGCGCGAATATGCAGCTTTCCAGAGTCCAACAGCTCCAGAACAGGCTTCTCGTCGCCAGCCTCCACGGAGGCGCACTCAGGTAAGAGGTTCGAGATCCATGGCGTTGCGCCGTACGGGGCAGCAGTTTCGGTGGCCCACGAGAGCATCAGCACGCCTTCCTGGGTGAGCTCGACCTGCCACGACACGGGCCAGTGGTACTCGGTATCTGACGTGAACAGCTCGATCTCTGTTTTGGTGTCAAGGAGCGAAAGGGAACCGCTGTCGAGAAGCTTGAGTTCGTAGCGTCCGTTTGGCGAGGCGAGATGGAATGGCGACAGCGACTGACCAGCTTCGAGCTTGGATACCGTCTTCTTCGCATCGGGTTTCGCGCCTGTGGTGGGGGCGGGTGTTGGCTTCGGGGGCGCCTTTGCTACGCTCTGCGATGTGGCAATTGAAGCCAAAGATGTGATCGCCTCATTGACATGATCGCCGACGGGGCCGTTCGGCTTACCGGCACCGTTCGAGACATCTTTGCCGTCAGTCGTCGGGGTGTTGTGGCCGAGTTGAGTGGGCACGTTGTAGCCTACGTGGGGGAGCTGGGGAACTAGGAAGATTGCCGCGATGAGGAAGACGGCGGCCACAATGGCCAGCCGCGTACAGGTACCGCTTAGCATCTTTCAATGAGTTGTGTTGTTTCTCGAAAGACTGTCCATTGCTGTGACTGTCACAGCTTTGATTTGTGTCCTCTGCTTGTGATGAAAGGGGCCTGCCGAGGCGTCTGATTCTCACAGCGGCGCGGCGGCAGGTTCGCGAGGGCCAAGCACATCGCTTGGAGCTTATCGCTTATCGGAGCTTGGGCGCATAAAAGCTGCACAATTCCGCGCTCGAGCTTCCCAGTCCCGCTTACTTGCATATCCGAGTGATCTCATCACCAGACATGTACCATACCAAGATCCAGGCGCGTGCCCACGTGAGAGAGAGAGAGTGAAGGTGATAGCTTCTGTGATGACAAGTGTGATGATTTGATTTTACTGCGTGATATTCTCCGTGGTTGCACAGGGGGGATGGTGAATTTCTCACCACTACATAAGCAGGAATTCTTGAGTTCTCCATGAAAACCCTTTCAATCATTATTTTGAGATAAGGTCACAACACGCGCATTGGATGATTATTTGCCGTATCATTTAACATAAAATTAAGATATTTTCAGTTTCATCGATATGATGGTATTTTAATAAGGCACGTTGATATGATACCGAAGAAATTGTCCTGCCAGAAAGGTTTGAGGTCGTTGAAAGACAGAGCCAAAGTTTTTGGTTTAACCAGAGAGTTGAGAACAGTACAAAAAAAAAGCTGTATTGATGCGGGATTCGACGTGTTTCTATGCTAAGATTTCCATTCTAAGTCCTTACAGTCCTAAGGGGGACATGTTCAGCGCTGTCATCAAGTCCGGTGATCACTGGAATGGCTTCGTAGCCGGCCGGTAGTCGTCCTTCTAGACCTGACTTCATGCCAACTGTAGTGATGTTAGTACTGCGCCAGATATAGGCCATTAGATGGAATAATAAGCATAAACTTACATATACACATGTACATGAACTCCACGACTACTGGGATCCATGTCGCTAAAGCAACAACATGTCCCAAGCTCCAGCTTTGCCGATCACTAGAACGCCCTGTGATATCTAATGTCTTCCTCCGAATACGGTACAGCAAGAAGAGCAAGTACGACATCAAGGCTAGGGGAACCAGTAACACAAGATATGTTCTCTTGGAAATCAAAGCAGTGAGGCGGGCATTCAAGTTCATTCCTCCATGGCGACTGTTGCTACCAAACGCTGGCATTCTCCGGTCTGCTCGGCTCAAAGGCCAGGTGTTCGATCGGTAATCAGGGGCACGGTTGTCTTGCAAAGCAGGGAGGTTCTGCCTTTCGTTTTCTGGCTATCGTTTTGACCCATGTCGGCACAAGATAGAAGAGGAGAATCGCATTCAGTACCGACCACAGCGCTGTTATGGTAATGTAAGATTCTCGCGAAGAGCGTGCGAGAGTCTCTTTAGTACCTGAGAGACAGCCCAGCATCTGGAAAGTCCCCCACAACTCCACCATATGATCCGAGTAATGGCGATCCCACGGACCATATGTGAAGAAGGTCGTGTACAAAGAGAAGGCGTAAAGAACAACTAACACCGAGCATCCGAGATACAGTCGTCGCCCTCCCCAGGTCTCGACAAGAAGATGTAGATCAATATCACAGGACAGAGACTGAAGAATGCCGAGAATTGCGCTGCCTCCAGATCATTGACAATGAGACTGTCGCCGAGATGCCAGGCATTGATCGTCCCCTCAAAGTCGTCTGAGTGAGCTCCGACAATGATGGTGCCGGATAGCTTCGCCAGACAAATGACCGCTGCATACTAATAATAGAAGGCAGTACCTGTGATTT